GGGGAGAGAGTACTGTGTATGAAATGTAGAAAATGAGGCATGAAGTGATACATTGGAAAGGAAGGAAGGAGTGAGTGAGGCTTCTGAATGAATGAATGAAAGTCATAAAATGATGTGGTGTATGTGATTTTGAGCTCATGCATGGTGGAGGTTATTAGGTTATTCTTTTAATGATGACATATGATCCTCCTCTTTTACCAGGCCAGAAGATAAATATTCTTCGTACTTAAGGGCTCTGTTATGGGCGAAATTGTAAATGTCTTAATTTGAACCCTTCAAGTTCAATGGGGCCAAGCGAAGGGAAATAATGCATGGCCATACATGCAAGGAAAAAAGAGGTGTTCATATCTTAGCCTACTAGGATCTATCTATATGTCACAATCTTTCTATTAGTGCTTCTATATGTCCTTGCTTTTATTACCTTTATCTTAAGATCATATCCTCTGCAAGAATTCCAGCAGGAACTTAAGCATCTAACCTGGCTTACCATAGCCTTGCGGACTGCCTAGGTAGCCAGGGGACCGCCCTGAGTTGTGTACTAGTGTTCAAGTAAAAACAATTACTCTGAGTTAGCTAGTACAACTTGATCATAATAACATTTGATAGTGAGGGTCGTGTGTGTGTGTGTGTCTGTCTGTCTATGCAATAAAAGAAACAGCTCGATCGGCCGGCCATTGCAAATACTAAACCTTCAGAGACTTCTCAGTGCTGAAAAGGATGTTCTAGCTAGGGCAATTGTTGGAACATAACCATGATAGCTGTCTGTTTGAATCTCTTTTGATTGGGGGAACATCATAAAATCTCTCCTTCCATGCATCTTTCCTTCAGCCCCCTCCTTGATGAAGTATTCTCGAAGCTATAAAATCCTTTCTAATGAATACCATGCATGCCGTGTAATATAAATGGTCAAAGAAACCACGGACTCTGAAGGAAGATCTGATGAATTTTGCAGTACTATAAGAGCACACTAGCATTTCAAATAGAATTCATAATCTTTACAGGCAACATTCAAGGTGCAGTCTAATTCAATCATATTTCTATGAATGGCCTTTTTGTTCTGTGTAGATGCACGTGATTCTGGCATGGGACCATGAACACCAATTTTCTCAGTCAAGCCTCAAGCTATAATTAGAGCAGCTGGTTTGTTGTGTATCCCATTAGGACCCTAGGTTGGAGGTTGTTTTTTGTAGTGTTTTTTTTCGTCTGAAATTATATTAAAATAATATTTTTATATATATATTATTACATGAAAACAATACAAAAACAATTTAGAATATAAAAAAATTCAAATTTTAATAGAAAAACATGCTGAATATCAATGTCAAACCGGCTAATCATGCATAACCGAGAAATTGAATGTGAACAAGGACGTGAAGCAACAACATCAAATACAGTAACAAGTGAAGGTACACATACTAGCTATTAAACAATAATGGCAGGAATTGGGTTCAAAAAAATTTCACCATCACCATAGCTGCAGTCCTTTAGACTACGGATCAGCACGCCTTCCAATAATAAATGTAGCAAGACCACTAAAGAAGGTGAGAGAGGTGTCTGGGGTTTCATGGAAAAAGACCATCATCGAAAACTCTATCATTCTTCCTTGTGTTTTCTTTCCCAAAAATAACTGAAATTCAGCATAAATATTCGTAGTGCATGAGGCAATGTGTGTCATCCTGTCATCTCCTTTTCTCTTGCGAGAATGAGACGCTTCTTCACCAGGGAAAGTTCAATCCCACGCATATATATTACAAAAGGGTGTGTGAAATGATTATCATTCTGACTACAGTAAGTACCATGCAGTCATGTCGCCTGACATTATAATACCTGCACATATTTTTATTTATTTTTTACTTTTTTTTTATTGGTATCATTTTGATACTGCACCCATGATAAAACAAAAAACAAACAAAAACAAATTGATTCAGCTTCCTTCCATGGCATCAAATATTACTGCATCATTTAGTGTCATCAAATGAATAATCATGTGTACGTGTTTTCTTGAAATTAACCGAGAAATGATGATGATTATGATAAATAAATAGAATAGAATGGTCTTAATTTAACTCTTTAATCATTGTAGCTCACGCCTATGTTGCACCGTGGACGCACGACTATCTATTCATGATTAGTGTAATTAACAAAATAACTAAAAGGATGGTGTGCACCACCTAAAAAATAATGTTCATTTTAATAATATATTTTTTTATTTTTTATTTTTTGAAATATTTATCTATATATAAATTTTTTAATTTTATCATTTAATATTAAATATATTAAAAATTAAATTTTATAATTTATTATGATTTGCTTTCTAGTTGATTAGCTTGGTCTCATAACTAGTGTTGCGGATTTAACGAGTTAATTTAATTCATTAATTTTTTAGTATTTTATCATTCAATATTGAGTTGAATATTAATGAAGTTTTATGATATATTTCAATTTATTTTTTATAAGTTTATCTTAGTTTCATAACTTAGATCATGGGTTTGATGAATTATTTTGGTTGACTCGAGTTTTTTTTTTTTTTTAATTGATATTTTTCTAATTTTATCCTTTAACATTGAGTTTATTAAGAATTAGGTTTTATAATTTATTTTTGTTTATTTTCTATGATATTATTACAATCTTATGACTGGAATCATGTATTTTATAAGTTATCATAAATAAACTCAAATAATTTATATCATATATGAAATGAAATATATAATTTTGTTGATTAAGATGGAAACATTTGTCAGAATGACATACCATGCAATGATATAATAAACTAAAGATCGAAGACTATAAGAAATATAGGAATATATTGAAGATTATTCAATTAAATAGAGATAAATGGAGTCATTTACTCCCTTTCTTTTCTTTTCTTTTTTCTATTCGTGTACATATAATGGTATTTTAAATCTCACCTAATTAGCTATTTTTATTATTTTTGTTTTTATTTTTATTTTATTTTATAATTTCTTCATAGGAAATAAAAATATTGAAAATGAGAAAAACTATATATATGTTTATTTCAAACACTTCCTCTCGTTTTGGAGATAACTAACTTGCCCACAAATTTGTAACATATTTATGAGTGTAAATACTCAAATAGAAAAAAAAATCACAAGGTACAAGTATTTCATAAGTTGTTATCCCTAAAACAAATATGAACAAGGACGGGGAGTTAAATGTAATTTCAGCATTTTGGTAACCAAACTAACATTGTTACTTGATTGATCAAATTTTGTGAGCACAAGTGTTAAATAAAAATCAGTGTGGGTACTTAACTAGAAAAAATTAAAAAAATGCAATTATTTCATATGTAATTATCTCTGTAGCAAGTCAGTTGAATTTAAAAAAAAAATGACTATTTAAATAATAAATAAATAGTATAATTATCATCTCATATGATTTTTAGACCAACTAAATAATATCACAACAAAAGAAAAGTAAAAGAATAAAAGTTAGAAACAACTTACATTATAATTGCATAAGAAAAGGATGTAAATGTTGTTAGTTGTTTTTTTTTATCATCAAGAAAAATCCTAACGACAAACTAAAAAGTTTATATGTTCATTTAATAATATAAATTAAGAATTATATGTGCCATTAAATAATAATAAATTTATTAACAAAAATCTAGGATAAAGATTTTATTTTTTATAGAAAAAGAGGTTATGCATTTGTTTCGGTTTGAAATTGGACCCATAAAGTTTTAATTGAATTTGAATCAATAACATTAAATTTTATTTTTTAAAATTAAGAATTAACTCAGTGTTAAAACTTATTTTTAACATCACGAGAGTATCATATAAAACCGATCAAAATAAAACATCAAACATAATCTTAGATCAACTTAATATTAGATTGTATTTTAAGAGACAAAGAAAAATTAAAAAAAAAACATTATAGGTAACTATTGCAACCCACATTAGAGTATCTGTTTATTTTATTTTGCAGTTTCATCTTTTTTATAATATTGTTTTCATCTCACATTGCCTTACACATTTATAATTTCAAACACCATTTCATTTACCAAAAGCCAATTTTACAAAACTAAAATGAAATTGTTAAATGGGAAGAAAAATTACTTCATAAAAAAAAAGATGCCAATGACAAAAAAAGAAGAAGAAGGAACTCAATAAAAAAAAATTATATAAATGAAAAAAAATGTAATTTATATAATGTTTGATAAGCTGACACTGAAAAATTCAAAAATATAGAATATGAATATTTTTAATGTAATGTTCATAATAGAAAAGCGTTTATCACTTTAATATTTTTTTATTTAATTTAAATCATTAAAAGTTGTACTAATACTTATATTAATTTCCATCCAATAAAATAAAAATAGATTTTAAAAGTAGATCCACATCACAAAAACATTACTATTATTAACATATATTAAAGCCTTGGCATTTCACTGTAGCAATGAATTGTGAAATGTCAAGATCTTTTACACTTTGTTCCTAAAATAAGGTTTTTATATTTTGATCTTTAGAATTTTTGAGGATTTTTTTAAATTTTAAATTTAGTTTTTTTCAATTACATCCTCTAATATTAGATTTACTAGTTATTAGAATTTATAATTTATTTTAATTTTCTTTCTACAGAGTTATCCTTTCTCATGACTCAGATCACGAGTTTTATATGTTAACCATATTGACTCAAGTTATTTTTTTATTCTTTT